GCTTCGTCCTCACTGCTGAGTCGAACTGACGTTCAGCGAATGACGGTAAGACGGCTGTCTGGGGAGGCCGAGGGCGACGGATCCGGAGAGGGCTCGTTCTCTTGGCCACAGCCGCGTCACCCGTTGAGCCGATCTCTTCGGAGGCCACCTTAGTAGCCTCCTGGAGTGCCAAGCTTTTGCCGTGAGAATTAGTGCTCTTGGCTTGCGCCTTTCCGGCAGCAGCCCTGGAGCGTGTCTTCGCACCGCTCTTCGCAGTGCCACGAGTCATGACATACAGTCACAGCGGAGACAAAGAAGAGGAGCGCACAGACTGCTGCTCGAGGCTTTAACTGTGAAGTGAGCCTCAGCCGCGCTCGCGCTGCCAAGTCGATGTTTTTTTACTTTGAGAATGAATAAAATTTTGTGACGTACACTTCTTCATTCTGATTGGTCGGTAAACCGAGCCTAAGTGGTAACGGGGTACGTAGCCCTAAGTGTACCCCTAGTTACATGAAGTGTGACACGTCATACTTCGGGATGTTTGGTACAAAGTACCAAGGTTGTCCGAGGCCAACCATTGGCGGATGACATTGCTTTTCTATAGGTGACTACTTGTTTGTATATTTAAATCAAGCTTAGCCTACCTATAAATATACTCAGCTTAAACCCTCCCTTTAATTGGTCACCTCGCTCCCTTTAAGTAAAAAGAGACCTGTGGACTGCCGCTCACTGAGAGTTTGTATAAGCTTACTCTCGGAAACCAACTTCCTCTACTGTGTGACCCCGTCACAATATTATTTGTGAAAAGGAAGCTGCTTTTAAAAACTGCTTTTAAAATGAGTATCCGATTCGAAACGGTTATGACAGGGTAAACGAAATCGCTGGACTAGCGCGGGACTCTGGATAAAATCCAGAGAACGTGTGCAAATACCCCCTTCTTTTCCCGCGTGCAACTCCAGAATCAGCGGCTCGAGGAACTATGGTTACTTTGTACTGTGTCGTCGTTGGTGTGGCTGGGAGCGCGTTCCCTGTGGACATTGACGAGAACAAGTCCGTGGGGCACTTGAAGGACGCGATCAAGGAGAAGAACGCATCGACGATCACATGCGACGCCATGAACCTGCAGCTCTTCCTGGCGAAGGCGGGGGGCAACGCATGGCTGTCGAGCCTCACTGAAGATGTGAAGAAGCTGAAGAAGGGCGAGAAGACTGTTCTCGTCAAATCTCTAACGCAAGAAGAAAAGGAGCTGCAGGGAGAGTCCGGCCTCAAGAAAGTGCTGGCGGGGATGCTATCGCCATCCACCGATGAAATTCACGTGCTGGTGGTGGTTCCGGAGCAAGACGGTACTATCTCAAAAGAGATGTCTGCAGCGACAACGCCACTGACTGTAGAGCAAGTGGAGATGTCAATGAATAAGGTTCTCAGGGAACGAGATGAGAAGGCGTCTGCATATTCGTTTTCCGATCTGAATACTGCGATGGAAGAGCGAATTGTCAAGAAGATGCGCTTGACCGAAAATATTCCTGATGTCAAGGAGCCAGTCGATACTTCCATCGCCGGTTATTCGTGGATTCCAAAAATCGTGGAGAGCGAGGAAAGTCAAAGGGCTGGGTACATGGCGTACTTGCAGCAGCATTTGAAGACGCTGATAGATCGAGGAGACTTCTTGTTGGATGACATTGCGGGCGATAAATCAGTTCTTAACATCGTGGACCCAAGACTTCCGTTTGCTATGAAAGGCACAGCTGATGTATTGCTCATCAATCGAACATCGAAGAACCCACTGATTAAGCTGGCTGGGGTCAGCTTGGTGATCGAGCTCAAGAAGAAAGTCGAACCGGGCCATGTTCCTCAAGCAATTGGTCAACTTGTGAGCTGCAGCATGAAGGCGCCTCTCAATTGCTATCCGCTGAGTTTGTTGACGGATTTAAACGACCACTGGCATTTCTCTTGGTTCAGCGACAAGCACGTTCTGACCCAACTTACGTTAAGGTATCCGAAGAACGCGTTCAGATTTATCGAGGCAGCTGTACTGAGACGAACGGAGTCTGCCCCACCTCCTCCGTCATTCATGCCTGGATCTTTCAAGACAATCAAGGTTGATGACTTCTTGCCCCAGCCAGTTGATGCTCGTGCAGAGGAGATGATGGAACGATACGAGTTGATGGCAGATGTGG